TCTTTCCTCTCCTTCCCCTCCCCCAGTCGGGAGGGCATCCCCACCACAGGCCCCACTGCCCCTTTCCCTGCCCTCCTCTCTGTAGGAGACTAAAGGGGACCGTTCTCTCCTGGGGGCTCAGTGTGCCAGAAACTGACAGTCAGAAAGCAGATGCCCTAAGACAAGTCCTGAAAGCTCAGGGAGGCCTGCGTCTGGCGGAGAGACAGAGACGCGGGGCCTCGGTGGGTCAGCGTCCAGTGAGAATGCGCAGGTGAGCAAGCGAAGGAGGGCAGCGCGCGCGGAGCGGTCCGCCGAGCCGAGGCCCAGGGCGCGCGAGACCTAAGAGGAGACAGGAGGAAGAGCGTTAGCGCGGCAGTTACATGTGCGTGGCCTCGGGCGGGCCCGCGCGCGACGCCTCCTCCGCGCCGTCCGCCAGCAGGAAGGAGTCCGACGACTTGGTGCTCAGCCGGATGGGCGCCAGGCGGCGGAAGTTGTCGGGCGAGCAGGGGATCTGCACCCGCGCCCGCTGGGAGGGCACCACGGTCTCCTCGGGAGACAGCCACGGCGGCACCCCGGCCAGCGCGCCCAGGTCCTCGTCCGGGGCGAACACGGGGTTGTCAATTCCTAGGAGAGAGGCGGCGGCCGCTCAGTCCCGACACGCCCGGGCTCCGCGCGCGCTCGGCCGGCCGCTGGCGAGGCTGCAAGAGGAGGCCGGAACCCGCCCTCCACGTTGGCGGCAGGACCTGCTCCAAACAAGGGCCGTGCGCGCCGGCCAAGGGCCAAGAGCCCAGTCCGACGGCTGCCGCAGGGGCTGCATGGGCCACAGCGCGCGCTCCAAGGACACGTGGGTGGCACCGGGGCCCGGCCGCCGCCGGCCTGCGCCCCCTGCGCCCAGGGCCTGTGGCGGCGGCCGGAGCGAGCAGAGCTGGGGTCCCTGGGCCACGAGGGGCGGCTCCGAGCGCAGACCACGCTGGGCTCCAGGCCGGCTGGGCTCTCCCCTGCCCCGCGGGCCCTCACCTGTCGAGGAGTCGGCCGCGGTGTCCTTCGTGACGTTGGCCAGGAACTCGATCCCCCCACTCATCTCCTCGGCCTCGTAGCCGGGGGTCTCCTCGGGGTCTGAGAACTCCAGCTCTGGGGCGGGGGAAGGCAGCGAGGTGGAGCAGGCCCTGCACCCGCGCAGCGGGCCCGTCACAGGGGCTCAGGGGTCGGGCCGAGGCGCCCCTCGCTGCCTCCCGCGCCCGGCTCGGCCTGGGGAGGCCGCAAGGGAGCGCGGAGCCACACAGCCGGCACGGAGGCCGCGCGGGGCCGCCTGGCTCACGGCTCGGACAGGGACACCCGGGACCCGCTGTCCTGGACGGAGAGGTCCCTCCCCCGGGCGCAGGCCCTGCCTGGCCCCACTGCAGCGTGGCCCCCAGCCGGGTCCTTACCTCGCTCCTTGATGGGGAAGTTGTGCAGGGAGCTCTCCACCGGCAGCTTCCCGTTGGGGATGCTGCTATTTCTCTGTGGGACGCACACGGGCGGGTCAGCACGACGCCACGAGGGCCCCTCCTTGTAACCCCACTCCACTGACTCTGCCCCTCGGTGCTGACCTCCAGCTCCAGGAGGAACCCTGTCCCCCAGATAACCGCTGTCCCCCATGATGATCCCAGTCTTCCCCGTAACCACCTGGGCCACCGTCCATCCCTATCCGTCCCGGCCCTGCCCCACCCGGCCAGGCCCTGTCCAGCGCCGCCCTGGCCCCAGGCTCGGACTGCCCTGGCCCCACTGACGGCCTTGCCCCGGGGCCCCCCTCTCCGGGACAGGCCCCGCCCCTGCCCCGCCCCCGGCCACATCCCACCTGGCAGGCCAGGCCCCGCCCCAGGCTCCGCCCCTCACCGGCCCTAGGCTTCTGCCCTGCCCCCGCACAGCACCAGCCCCATCCCAGGTCCCGCCCCGCGCCAGGCCCATCCCAGGCTCTGCTCCCCGCCCCACCCTGCCCGGCAGGCCAGGCCCCGCCCCTCCAAGGCCCCGCTCCGCCCCAAGTCCCGTCCCCGACCACACCCCCGACAGGCCAGGCTCCGCCCTGCGCCAGGCCCATCCCAGGCTCTGCCTCCGGCCCTACCCCTCCCGGCGGGCCAGGCCCCGCCCCGCCCCGCCCCCCTACCCTCTTCTGCGCGCGCTCCCGCTTGTAGAGCTTGGCCGCCTTCTTGTTCTGGTTGATGCCCAGCTTGGCCGACTTGAAGGACTCGAGCCGTTTCCGCATGGTCCTGTGGAAGATCTCCTTGTCCTGCTTCTCGTCCTCGCTCGGCGTCAGCTCGTGCCGGCTGTACAGGTGCTTGTACTGCGGGAGAGCGGCGCTGAGTCGGCGCCCGGGCCCCGCGCCGCCCCGGCCCCGGGGACGCGCCGCGCGCCCACCTCCTGCCGCGGCTTGTACAGGTACTGCTGCAGCGTGTGGTGCGTGACCATGTCCTCCGTGTCGCGGATGCTCCGCCGCCGCTGCTCCAGCGACTGCATGTCCAGGCACACGGCGCTCGCGTTCTCTCGCCTGCGGGCGAGGGGGCGCAGGGCGCGCGAGTGTCCGCGAGCGGGGCGCGCCCACCCTGCCCGGGGCCCCTGCAGGAGGCTGCCACCCAGGGCCCCTCCGGCTCAGCCCTCCCGGTGCGCGAGCAGAGGGCAGGGGCTGGCCCCAGGGCACGCAGCCCAGACCAGGTGTTGGAGCAACACCCATGGGACCCAGGTCTGGCCTCAGCTGTGGGCCAGCTTCGCTTGGCAGGTGCCCAGCCCCGGCAGGAGGCCTGAAAACCAGGCCTTGGAGCCGCTGCCTGCTGGGCGCCCGGTGGGTGGGCCTGTGCCCCTGAAGGCTGCTGCCTGGACTGCCCTGCCCCGCGGTTGGCCCTCCCTCTTCCTTCCCTGCTGTCTGTAGACTCTGCAGCCTTTGATATGATCTTGCCTATTGGCCCAGGGAGTTAACGTGTCCCTGTGGGAGGGGACGCCTGCTCTCTGCCACCCCCCCCACCTTCAACCCTCCTTGCTGGAGATGCTGGCTGACTGGTGTCTGCCCACTGTGCTCAGGAGAGCGGGGCTGGGGCGGGAGGACAGGCAGGGAGACCCAAGCACGGGCACTTACAGGAGGTAGGAGACAGAGGCCTCCATCGAGGTGGTGGATGGCCGCGGCGTGTTGAAGTCCACGTTCACCATGTTGTCGGTGCTCGGGGAGCGGATGAAGGCCAGGGACCCCCGGCGTTCGCCCTGCACGGGGAGAAGCAGCCAGGCGTGTTTGTGTCTGCATGTGTCCATGTGTGTCTGCATGTGTGTGTGTGCCTGCACATGTGTACACGTGTGTGGATGTTGGCAGCTCTGGTCCCACAACCTCCCTATCTAGTCCCCATTGTCTTCTCTCTCATCAGTGGGAAGACATGAGCTCGGGCTTCAAGGATGTGGCCTCATGTCTTAGACCCATGATCACACTCAGCCACGTGTCCTGGGGTCTCTGTGCCTCAGTTTCCCACATGTGGAGGGCTATGCGGGGTGGCCTGCTCTCTGCTGGCACCTGTGAGCCCCACGTGACCTTATAGGGCAGGTTATCGAGGAAAACATGGGACCTGTGCACTGCCTCGGGCCCCAGGGGTGTCACTTCAGACCTGCTGACCCTGCCCAGACCACAGCGGGGGCCCCATCCCATGCCCTCCCCCGCCCCCAGCACAGGCGAGGGCTCCCGAACCTCAGCCACGTAGCTGATGGCATCCTTCAGGTTGAGTTCGTGGAAGACGTTAAGGATCCGGTCTCTGGACTTCTGGGCCGAGCGTCTCATGAGAACTTTGCTAAGGAACTTCCTGTCGAAGTTGGACCACCTGGGGGTACACTCAGGCGTCAGCTCTGGGGCCATGCCTCCTTGACCGGAGGGAGGACGGTAAGACAAAGAACCCAGCCACCCCGTGCAGTGACTAGCGCATGGACCAGTGTGTCCCTGCCTGCCTCTCTAAGGCTGTTGTCAGTGGAACACCTGCAGAGTTGGGGACCCCATCTTCCCTCAATGCACGTTGTCAACAGTTACTCCCTGATCCTTGGGTATGAGGTTTGGATGTCAGAGGCTGAGCCAGACAAGGGCAGGGCGTTGGCTCTGGCTGTACGGAGGGGAGGCCGGGGAAAAGCAGACCCCACTGGGCCCACACCAAGAGGAAGCACGGCTGAACTGAAAAGCGCTTTTTAAACTGAGCTGATGGAATTGGACGTTCTGTGGTAGTTCAGGTCACTGGGCGAGGTGGTAGTCAGACCCAAGGAGGAACTTCCAACTGGCCATGCGGCTGGAGCCTGAGGGGCACAGCAGGGTGACTCAGGCAGTGGGACCCCAGCCCACTGCTCAGTCACACCTGAGGTCCTCGATATGACTTCTCTCCTGCAGAGGTGTCCCTGCTGCCCACTGTGCGCCCACCCACGTCAGCCTCATCCCATCTCATTCAGCTACAGCTGCAAGGATGCTTCGCTCCAGCTAAGTGTTTGGCTTCGGCAAAGGGCCGGAGCTCATCCCAGCAGAGCTGAGGTCGCAGGAGTGGGCCGAGGCCAAGGGCCGCCTCTGCCCCAGATCTAACAGAGTGGCCGTGGAGACCCCGCTCACTTTACCAGGCCACGTGGCCCTGCTTCCCGCCTGCTTTCTTCAGCTTCAAGCAAGGACCACAGCCCCTGTAGAGCTAGTGTGTCAAACGTTCGTGGTACATATGATGCCTCAGAGTAACCAGAGGGGCTACGTTGCCCGTCAAGTCTTGTTACTGTCTTGTTTTGTTAAGCTCCTTTAGTGTATCTGGAAGTGCTCATTAATGTTTTTAGAAAAAAGGGCTCTGGTGGCGTCGTGGATAAGGCATTTTGCTGCTAACCAGAAGGTCAGTGGTTCAAACCCACCAGCCACTCCAGGGAAGGACAACAGGATAATCATCCTCCGTGAAGATTTACAGCCTCAGAAACCTGACGGGGGTCACTTTGAGTCAGAATCGACTCCATGGCAGGAAAGGGACCCTGTATGCGCAGACAGACATCTGCCTGACGTTAGAGACCAGCTGCACAGGTTTAAATTAACGTTTAAGAGCCGTGATCTGGGGACTGCGTCTATTTAATGAATCACGAGTCAACCAGTGTGGATTCGAAGGGTTTAAATTACTAGATTTACTATAGCTTTCACCATCAAGTTTACTTTAAAAATAATACACAAAACTAGGATCTCAGTTTCATGGAGAAGATAATTAAAAAGATGACTGGAGGCCACACGGCTTTCCTGTGGCCATGCCAGGCCGGAAATGGTATCTTTTCCAGGTTTTCAATTGCCAAACAATTTGAGGACTTGGAGTTCATTGGAGGGACTTCTCTCCTGCTGGGAAGCAGGAGGGGGTGGCCCCGCCCCCAACTTGCTCAGCACCGCCCCCAAGCGCGATGTGACCCCTCAGACCCTCACACTGAAGTCTGGGTATCCCTGGAGTCCAGCTCTCACGTTGTGACAGCCTCCCACCCTGACTAGGTACCACAGGGCTCGGGTGCCAGCCCGGGTTGCAGACCCACCCTGTGAGTAGCCTCCTAGCTCTTTTCAGCTGCAGAATTAGGGCTGGCTGGTGCTGGGTTTCCATGGCAAGGAGGAGTGGTGCCCAGCTGTCACCAGTGCTACCTTGAGGGCCACTGGCTGGGGGGGTGGCATGCAAATTCCAGGCAGGGGCGTCCCAGTCACTCACTTGTCTCTGAGGTAATTGTGTCCTATTTGGCCGGATATGTCCTCAATGGCTGAGAGGATGTGGTCAAAGGCCTTTGAGGGAAGACACTGGGTTAGTGCCCCTGGGGCAGTCAGGCCCCCAATCTGCCCCTTCACTCCCTCATGCCCCTCCTCTGCCCTGCCACCCTCCCTCTCTCTCCTCATCGCACCTCTCCACCCCGTCCCCAGCCCCCCCATCTGCCCCCCTCACTTGGCCTTCAGTCCTCCCACTCCCCTCACCCAGCCCCAGTCCCCGCTCACCTGGTCCCCTCACCCGGCCCAGGTCCCCCCTCACCAGGTCCCCCTCGCCCAGCCCGGATCCCCGCTCACCCAGTCCCCTCACCCGGCCCGGGTCTCCCCTCACCAGGTCCCCCTCGCCCGGCCCGGGTCTCCCCTCACCAGGTCCCCCTCGCCCGGCCCGGGTCCCCCCCTCGCCCGGTCCCCCCTCGCCCAGCCCGGGTCTCCCCTCACCCGGCCATGCAGCTTCTCGTTGAGTTTGGGCTCACGGTGCTCACTTCTCTTCACCTTCAGCCACTGCACCAGGGGCTTGATGGTCAGGCCCTGCAGGATGGGGTGTGGTGACCCTGGGGGCTGGGGACTCAGGTCCCGTGCTCTGCTCGGGCCCTGGGGCAGAGTAGCTGGACTCCATGAGCCCCGCAGGTTCCCCGGGAGACTCCGCTGTGTGAACCCCCACTCTGTGAACCTCCACAAGCCCCCACTACTTGAGCCCTATCCACCCCCACCGCTTGAGCCCCCACCACATGAGCTCCCACAAGCCCCCACTGCGTGAACCACCACTACGTGAACTCCCATGAGCCCCCACTGTGTGAACTCCCATGAGCCCCCAGGAGCCCCCACTGCGTGAGACACCCCAAGGCCAGCAGCTGCACCCTGAGCCCCTGTGGCTTCAGGGCCCATGGTCCCAGGCGGCTCCCATGGAGATGACCCACAGCAGCCCTGGGGGTGCAGTCTAGGCTGATGTGCATCCCAACGTGCGCTCTTGGGTTGGCCACACGCCATGAGGCCTGCCCTGCGAGCCAGAGCCGCCAGTGTGACGGTAACTGGGCCTCGATCATCAGCAACACCAGGAAGAACTTTCTAGGACAGCCTGGGTGGCCGCCCTGTGGGCCTCAGGAGGACCTACAAAACACTCCTTGTTCCTAAAACAGAATCCAATTAAGGCTGGCGCCTCGGCTGGCCATGGGAGGCACCCTGTCAGCCTGCTGCTTCCCACAGCTCCTGGGACTGAGGACATGACCAGGCCCTCCCGCAGGCGGGTGAGTGGCCAGATGGGGAGTGGGGTGCGGCAGGCTGTGTGCTCTCACCTCACACAGCCCGGGTGGGGTGAGCCAGGCCGTGTTGCTGTGTGGTTGTGTTTTGCCACTGAGTCGGACGCGACTCATAGCAACCCCTCCTTGGGTTTCCGAGGCGGTATCACTATGGAAGTAGATTGCCCAACCTTCCTTCTGAGGAGCGGCTGGTGGATTTGAACCTCCAGCCTTCTGGTTAGCAGTCAGATGCCTTAGGTACTATGCCACCAGTGCTCCCAACTCTTATTGTTGTTGTTATATGCCGTCGAGTCGGACTTGACTCATAGTGACCCCTCCTTGGGTTTCCGAGGCGGTACCTCTACAGAAGTAGATTGCCCAACCTTCCTTCCGAGGAGTGGCTGGTGGGTTTGAACCGCCAGCCTTCTGGTTAGCAGTCACGTGTCTTAGGCGCTGCGCCCCAGAGCCCCCGAGCCCGGCGGTACCTGGAAGATCACGGTGAAGAACACCACGATGATGGTGGTGCTGACAAACAGGTTCTTCTCCTTCACCTTCTTCTCGTCCAGCAGGACCACCAGGGCGTAGGCCACGGCCCCGCGCAGGCCGCCGTACGACATCACCACCTGGTCGATGATCTCCAGCTGCACCATCCGGTACCGGTTCAGCACCCAGGTCTGCAGGGCCACACCTGTTGTGGGAAGCGCGTACTCAGTGCCACAGGGCGCCTGCCGCTCGGCTGCGGCTCAGGGAGGCGCCAGGCCGGGCTCTGCTCCCGGGGCGCTTGGATGGAATGCTGTCTCCCACACCCCAGTGCACATGACCCGGCTGGGAAATAGGGTCTTTGAAGATGATACAGTCAGGTTAACATGAGGTCATACCAAAATCAAACCAAACTTGGTCTGACTCAGAGCGACACCTCCTTGGGTTTGCAATGCAGTGTCTCTACAGAAGTAGATTGCCCGACTTTCCTTCCGAGGAGTGGCTGGTGGGTTTGAACCGCCAGCCTTCTGGTGAGCAGTCAGGTGCCTTAGCACTGCACCACCAGCGCTCCCCTACCAGAGTGAAAATAAAGAGCGATACCAAGTGCCATCACGCGGCGTCTGAGGCCTGGCGCCCCCGTGTGGTGCAGAGTAGAACTGCCCCAGAGGATTTCTCGGCTGTGAACTTTATGGAAGCTGACTGCCATACACTCCTGGACGGGTTCAAGCTGCCCATCTGTAGGCTAGTGGTCCAGGGCCCCACCTGGTGTGTCCTAAACCTATACGACTGGATGTCCTTGTAAAAGAGAGGAAGACTCAGAGACGGGAGCCCAGTGACACTGCAGCTGTCCCAGAGAATGCCTGGGGCCCCCAGCAGCCGGGCAGGACGGGAGGGCTCCTTCCCTAGAGCCTCTGGGGAGAGCATGGCCGTGACACCCTGACCTCGCACTTTGGCCCCCAGCGCTCGAGACTGCCTTCTGTTTGCAAGCTTCCAGTGTGTGGCACTTTGTGACAGTCACCAGGGACACTCGGCACTGCTCCTGGCAGAGCCCCCTGTGGGGGACAGAGTGTCCTGGGTGAGGTGACGCAGCATTGGGGTGTCCACAGTCTCTCCTGAGTGAAATCCTGTGTTTGGGGACAGGAAGCCCTGCTGTGCCCCTGCCCCTCCCCCACAGTCCTGTCCTGTCACGTCTCAGACCCGCCCCCATCCCTCCAGGCCATGGTCAGAGTGGCTGCTACCAACGCTCTGCTCAGGACAACCATGTCACTGGGCTGTGTGTGGAGACCGGAAAACCCCAGGGTCTGTGAGCTCCGCCACGGCGTCTCCCGGGGGCCTCTCCCCTGCTCAACAGAGCCTTTGTCGGGCACTGGATGCCACGGCGCGAGGGCGACCGGCTGGCCCCACCCCCCATGGCATTTTCTCCCTGGCAGCCTTGGTGCCGCAGAGGCGGGGGCCAGTCCTGGGTGGGGGGACCCTTGTTCTCCTGAGCCTATGTAACAGGCTCGGGTGAGCAGGAGCTGGGGGGACGCAGGGGGGGCAGCTGGCAAGTGGCTGGGCGCTGGCCCCTCCTCAGCCCCACTCAGGCCAGTCCTCAGACTGAGGCAGTGTGGGACCCATCCAGGAGCCCCAAGCCCTCACCCTCCAGAACCTTCCACCCTGGCCCTCAGGCTGTCACCATGGCTGGGCTGACCCTAGTCCCTCCCCTGCCCCTGGGTGGCATGGCAGCCACTGGGGGGCCAGAGCTGGGAGCACAGCCACCCAGAGCCTGAGCAGGGTGCTCCCAACGGGCTCTGGGTTCTGCTGTTGCTGGTTGAGAGCCCACACGCTGTGGGGGTCACCCTCCCTCGTCTCCAGGGGCTCTCCCGGCCCTGATCCTGAGGGTGCAGCTCAGGCCGCCTGCCTTGTCCTTGCAGGACCGCCCACCACCGCCCTCCGTCACCCTCAACCACCCACCACCGCCCTCCATTACCCTCTGTCCCCCCTACCCACGCCTACCATCACCCCCATCACCCTGATCAGGCTCATCACCCCCATCACCCTCATCACCCACTGTCACCCGTTATCACCCTTTATGACCCCCCCATCCACCGTCACCCCCCATCACCCTCCGTCACCCATCATCACCCGCCCCTGCGCACCGATGGCGCGGTACACGGAGATGAAGACCAGCGTCAGGAGCACGAAGGCCGTGTTCCAGGTCCAGATGAGCGGGTCCACGGCAGAGATGCCCAGGAACATGAAGATGATGGTCTCCGCCCCGCTGGCCAGCATCTTCATGGTGTAGCGCACCGTGGTGGCCGACTGCTCGGAGATGTTGGCCTTCACGTACTTCTGGCAGCAGATGCCGCAGAAGGTGATCCTGGGTGGCAGGAGGGACACGGAAGGGCGTGAGGAGGTGGCCCAGCCCGCACTCCCACCAGGCAGGCGCGGACCGAGCCCGCCTTCTGGGGCTTCCAGTGCTGGGGCGGGGCGTGCCTGCAGGGCCTGGCTCCCAGCCATGGCCTCAGGGCCCCATGTGCGAGGTCTGACCCCGGCCTGGCTGGCTGCATTGCAGGGCTCTGCATTCCTGCACAGATGCCCACCGTCCTCAGGGGCCAGGGACCCCTACCAGCGCCGCACGGCCCCCAGCCCGGCCCTGCAAGAAGGTCGGGGCTGCCCCAGCGCCCCCACACCCTGGGCCCAGCAGCTCCATGTCCCTGCACGCGTGTTGTAGTGATGTGTTCCAAGCCTCCGTGGCCTACAGTACAGACTCGGGGGCTGTTTCGGGTTCTGCAGACCACCTAGCCCACCCTGGGGTGTCTGGTTGGGCAGCTCTGCCCTGAGGGGAGGGAGGCTGAGGTGGACATGGGCCCCGGGGTCCCTGCAGCGGCCCCTTGTCTCAAAGGCTGGGGAAGCCGTTTCTGGAACTGACTCTTCTGCAAGCTCAGGCCAGATGCGTGCTCCCGTGGGGATGCCACGCGCAGGCGGGCAGTGTCCCTCAGAGCAGGCCCTGAGCCGTCTGCAGACCCTTCGCTCCTTCCCCGTGGGTACGGAACACCAAGGAGGAATGTTTTCCACTCTGGGGAGCGCGCAGCTGGGGGGGCCACTTCCTCCATCTTCCCCTCCCCGCTCTCGCCCCAGCCCCTCACCCGCCTCTGGGGAGCTCTCCTCGGGGTCCGGGCACCCTGACGCCTCTGTCCGCCCTCGCCTTCCTGTCTTTCGTAAATCACACGCCACGCTCCAAGCCAGATCCCACTGCCCCGAGAGCCCGGAGGAGCTGTGGCTGTGTCCCTGAGGGGTGTCCCGTGCCACCGCCCTTACTCGGCCATGTGGGTGCATGCCTCAGGGACTTACGCCAGGATGGCCGACAGGGACAGCATCTCGGAGGTGAGGTAGGACAGGTAGGAGATGACGAAGACAAAGCCCGGCTCGATGATGCGGACGTGCTTGGTGAAGCGCGTCACCAGCGACAGCAGAAAGGCGAAGATGACGCCCACCAGCGTGCCCCCCAGGCTCACCACAAAGAAGGACACTGCGGACATAGGTTCTGCCTGAAACCCGGGAAGGGTGCCCTGGGCCCCGCTGGCCCTCCCTGCCCGGGAAGCCCGGTGACTGCCCCTCGGAGACGCCCACCGGCCTCAAACAAGGGGCCGATTGTCCACACTCCCTAACAGGGCCGGGCCGGGGCCGACAGGGCATCAGGTGGGAGTAAGCCTGAGCAGGGGGCCTGGGGAAGGCCAGTGAGACCAGACCACGCCCCCACCCTCGTCTGTCAGTTGTGAGTTCGCCCCGGCTGGCCGGGATCCAGGGTGTCACTGTTCATGGCTCTGTGAATGGGACAGATCACTTTGAGGTGGCTCAGGGCAGTCCTAGGACACAGCTCTGCATGGGACCCAACCGGCTACACACCTATGCCCTTCACGCAGTCCACGCCAGTCACCTTGTCACCGCCCAGATTCACGAAAGATTCAAACACATTGTAGAGGACCTGAGGGGAGAGAAGGCTAGAGATGTGTGGGCACCCCCGGTCTGCACTGGACCTCGTGGGGACTGGGGTCTGCAGTCAGGTGTCGCAGCAGCCGTCCACCTGGAAACTGAAAGTCATCAGAGGGTAATGACAGTCAGCAGGATGAAGGCCGAGGATGAAGCTGCAGGTGGAATGCACGAGGCAGGAGAACATTCCAGAAGGCACTAGAACCTTCTGGAGCAAAGCCAGTCTGTTCTGGCCCTGTCAAATGGGGAAGCCACTACTGACCCGACTCATGTTACCGTCAGTTTCGTTTCTGGAACAACCTTTAATGACGTTGCTGTTGTGTGGACTGGGGGTCACCCCTGTAGCCTTTGCATGTGGACACTTAAACCCTATGGGAACTGTTGAGCCCTCGCTGGGGGTGTGGAGACAGCCAAGAGGCTGCGTCCCCTTGGCCCTAGGGACATCGCTGTCATCACAGGAAGGGCAAAAGGCCCCATGGAGACAGCCCTGCCTTTGAGCCCTGACTCTGGGCACCAGGCTGCTCATGGGCACGGACCCCACACAGGCAGAGTGGGGGTGGTTTGGAAGGGCAGCCTGGCTGGGTGTAGGGACGCAGGGTGGGCGGGTCGTGGAGGGTAGCCCATGTCCAGGTCCCTGAGCCACAGCCCAGCTCGCCTGGCAGAGGGCTGGGGCCTTATTTGTTATTACACACTGTCAAGTCGGACCCAACTCATAGCGACCCCTCCTTGGGTTTCCGAGGCAGTATCACTACGGAAGTAGGATTGCCCAACCTTCCTTCCGAGGAGTGGCTGCTGGGTTTGAACTGCCAGCCTTCTGGTTAGCACCCAAGTGCCTTAGGGACTACGCCAGCAGAGCTCCTGGGGCCTCAGTTAGGAAACCAGTGAAACTCTGATGTGCTCCATAGAGGCCGAGGAAGCCGCAGCATTGCCTCAGAGCCCTGCGCTGTGTGTCTCCAGCCCTGGGATCGCCTCCAGGGACGCCCAGCTCTTCCACCCTCCTGAACCCGGGGTGTCCTCGCTGCTAACCAGGACGGTGGGGTTCAAGTCCACCCAGAGGCACGTTGCAGAAAAGCCTGGCAATCTACGCCTGAAAACTCAGCCTGAACACCTGCGGCTGCAGCTCGGCTCCGACCGGGATGAGCCCCACGGCAGGCAGCTCGGTAACGGCACGGGCCACGAGGGAGCCGGAGCGCCGGCCATCAGAGCCACAGGCGCTCCTGGGGAGCAGGGACCGGCCACCCGTCGAGCATCTCGTGTCTGCCGGCCTGGCAGGAGGCACTGGGAGGACACCTGCCGCACGAGTGGTGCCTCGGAGGTGCCGGGACGGGCTCAGGCTGCGTGAGCGTTCACCTCCGAGCGGCCAAGGCTCATCTCACGGCCCTGGTTCACTCACACGGAGCGACGTGGTCCCGTGTCCTCTTGGAGGTCCCACCCACCCTCCTGTCTGTCCACGTGGCGCCCTGCTGTGACCACCTGTGGCTGGGTCTGCGGCCTCCTGCACCTCACCCCAGGTGCAGGCTCACGCCAGTGCCAGGGGTTTCCAGCTGCTGTCCTGTGGGGAGGAAGGCACCCCCCACCACCGAGCCGATTCTGACCCACAGCACCTCTCGAGGACGGAGGAGAATTGCCCAGAGGGTTTCCAAGGCTGTCAGTGTTTAAGGAGGCTGATGGCCTTAGCTTTCTCCTGCAGAGCAACTCGTGGTTTTGAACTGCCGACCATCTGGTTAGCAGCGAGCCCTCTAACCCCTGTGCCACCAGGGCCCCTTGAAGGCAGCATTGTTGTTGTTGTTAGGTGGCGACAGGTTGGCCCTGACTCATGGTGCCCCCGTGTACAGTAGAACGCAACACTCCCTGTTCCTGTGCCGGCCTCACAGTCCCTGCTAGGCCTGAGCCCACCACTGCAGCCACTGTGTCAACCCACTTCATCAAGGGCCTTCCCCTTCCTGAAGGCACTAGATTACCAGATGGGAATGCGGCGTCTCCTAACCCAAGTAACCAGCTATTCTGGGTGACCAGGGGGCAGGCGGTCAACTCACACAGAAGGTGAGGGGGACCACTTAGAAGTGCCACTGTGGTGACCCACTTAGCGGCACGGGGACCTGGTGCGGCAGCCGTGAGGTGCCAGCTAAAGAGCCCCGCAGCTCCCCACGAACACCGAGCCCCTCGTTCGTAGCAGCCGCGTGGAACGGGAAGGGCGCACGGCAGCAGGCCCTCCCCTGGGCCCCTGCCCCACTCACCACGGTGACAGCGTCATTCAGTAGCGACTCCCCAAACACGATGATGAACAGGACCTCGTTGACATGCACCTCCTCGAACACGGCCAGCACGGCCACCGGGTCCACGGCCGCTATCAGGCTGCCGAACAGCAGGAAGTCCAGCAGGCCAATCTTCAGGTCCCCTGGGAACAGGTGGCCGGTGAGGGCGGCTGGGCGGCCAGCCAGCCTTTGGGGGCTGAGGGACAGACTGCAAGGTGGGGGCCATGCATGTGGTTCTCCTGGGCCAGCTGAGGCCTGGTGGCCATGGGGGATGAGGTGGGGTGGACAGACAGCCTGCCCTCCCACCTGTCTAGAAAGCCCAGCTGTCCACACAAAGCTGACCCCCCATGGCTCCCAGGACCCTCAGGTCTCCTACCACTCTGGCCCCAGGCTCCTAGTCTGCTCAAGGGGATGGGCCCCACGGCCCCCCACTGCCCCCCACTGCCCTGTGCTTGGAGGGGTGGGACCTCAGGAAGTAGGGAGCAGGTGCAGCCATCTGTGATCTGGTCCAAGAGGCAACTGTCCCCCTAAGTACAATGAGGTCACATGGTGGCCCTGTACGTCAGTGCAGTGAGCAGCTTTCAGGGCACCGGCCGGGGCCTGGGCCAGGTGCGTGGCCCCAGGTTCACCCCAGGTGCAGAGATGGCCGTAGGGTCAGATGCCAGCTGGCTAGGGCAGTATGCATGGTCCCTGTGGCTGAGGACAAAGTCCCCAGGTGATGATGCACCAGGGGTGACAATTCCAGCCAGGGACCTTTGGTCCCTCTCTCGTGTCTCCTCAGAGCCGAGCACCTAGGTCCCACGTGCAGGGTGGGACTGTGGGGTGCTTGTCCTCAGATATCGTGACCTGGGTGTCCCTGTCATGGGTCTGTGGTGGGAGTTTGTGGGCCATGAAGTGCATGGCGGTGGGGAGGCCAACCACCTGTCACCTCCAGGCACCTCGATGTAGCAGCAAGGTGAGGCCCTGGCACTTAGCAGCCAAACGAGGGTGATGAGGATGGTGAAGAGCAGAATGTGTGCCCATCTGGGACAGCGGCTCACGGTGGTGACAGGTGAGAGGCGAGGAGCCGGCCTCTCTCACAGGCTCAAGTGAAAGCCTCATCCCGACCCAGGGCTCGCCTAGCTCTTAGCAGGCTCCCTCCACTTCCTGCGGGCCTGGGCCCAACCTTGGCCAAAGGGCTCCTCCTTCTCCCTGGGGACTCGGTGTTCTGTCTGAGGTCAGGGGTAGGGGGCTGGGAAGAGGACCCCACCTCCTTGTCAGAACCTCCTTAGAAGGAAGTAGGGGGAGTGGCCACTGTGGCCGGGCCAGCCCGCCCCCAGCCAATCACAGGAGAGCCCACCGGGAGGGACCAAGCCAGCCGTGTTTCCGTTCAGACACGTGCGGTGGGACACATGGACCGTGCATTCCCCTTCCCCAGCCCGTGGCCCTGCGTCCCCAGGCCCGCCCGTCCCTGCCCGAGCGCTCACCCATCAGCCCGCTGAGGAAGACGCCGTAGAGGGACAGGCCGGTGGTGGCCGCGTTCCACACGGTGCCGATGACGGCGTAAAGCAGGATGGTGCCCAGGTTACCGAAGAACAGGCGATTGGGCATGAAGTAGCCGGCGTCCAGCACAATGGGCGGCAGCAGGTAGAAGAAGAAAACGGTGGGCGTAAGCGTGAAGCTGGCGATGTGGTCGGCCGCCCAGACGATGCCGCCCAGCGCCAGGCCCAGCACGATGAGGAGCGCGCTCTCGGGGACCACGCTGGTGACCTTGTGGGACAGGTGGAACACTGCGGGGAGAGGGGCTGAGTGTGAGCGGGGCGCCCAGGGCCGGCCCTGCCCGGGATAGTGCATCTGCTGCCCCTGGGCCCAGTCCTCACGGCCGGAACCTTCTCACCCGTGAGCTCCGGGAACACACGCAAGGGCAGGGGCCACGGCAGTGGACGGGAAGGCCTCGTGCCCTGAGTGGACCCTGTGGCCACCGCTCACCAGCTACTCAGGGACCCTCGCTGTAGGTTCACCAGCCTATGAGTGGGACCCCCACTCCATCCGTTCCCAGGTACCGAGAGTCTGGAGCCTGCAGCCCACCTCAGCCGGACTCGTTCCCTAGCCGCCCGGAGGGGTCCCACAGCGCTGCTTCCCACTGGCCAATCCGCCTGAATCCTGGGGGCCCAAGGCTGGCGTCTCCATTGTCTCCCAACAAGGACTGGGCCCTTGTAGCCCCAGTTCTCTCTTCCAGCGGGGCCCCAGGGTCCCCAGGCCACATCCCCTCCCCTTTGGGCCCCTCAGTCAATCATCAGCCCAGTAGGAGATGCACCTTGACCCTCCCGCCAGGTGAGCGGGGCTGGGAGGCCTACAGGGCCCACTTGGCTTTCCTATCTGAAGACTCTGAGAACAGGAGATAAGAGGAGGCCCCGTGTGAAGCCCGATTTCAAAGTAGCTGGAATGTGGGCAGATGAGGCGGCCCATTGGCTTTAGCAATGCCTGGGAGGGACTGTCTGCAGTACTCACTGAAGTTGTTCCTCCCAGGGGAAGTCTTTGAAATTCAATGAGCCCTATCTCCCCAAGATAGCCCGGATCCTGCAGCGCCAGCCCTGGGGCTGTGCCACCTCAGAACCTGCAGGAGGGGCTGCCCGGCCTCCCACCATCCTGTCTCCCGGCTTCCAGAGTTCCTGCCCCGCTCCCCTGCCTAACCAGGTCAGCCGCACCGCCCCCGGACTGTGTCCTCACCCGTAATTATGGGTCCGTGGTTCAGGGTGGCTCTCCGAGCTCCCTGCATGCCGGGGAGGAGGCGCTGTTGTCATCATGCTAACCGGCCCCACGCAGGCCTACAAGCCTGGCTGAGGGGAGGCCACAGGTGCCAACCTGGTGCCTTTCCTGGGTTTGACTGCTTGGGAGCCGGGCCTCAACCTCGCAGCCTGACCCCTAGGGCAGCCTGACTCCCAGCCTGACCCCAGCCTGCAGCACCCACTCCTCACTGAGCTGTGGGTGCCCCTCTGCCCAATGGAATGGTCCTGACGTGGACCTGGGCACCTGCTGTGGGTGCCTGCCCCTCTACCTCCACCCCAACCCTATGGGAAGGGGCTTCAGGGAGGGTGGAGGCCACATGAGGGGGGTGGAGGCCGCACGGGTCACGGCTTCTCTCAGCCCCCACTCCCCTCACCCCATGCTCCGGAGGGGCTGAGGAAGTGGGCCACGGGGCATCGGGGGCCTGCCGCACCCCTTTGTCCCAGCCCTTGGAGTCCCGCTGCAGGCTGCAGGCGTTCGGAGTGGCCCCAGGCCTTGCAGCGGGAGCTCTCGGGAGCAGGTGAACCGGGGAGGATGGACACTCGGGGCCCTGAGCAAGTACAGGATTCAGGATGAGGCAGGAGCACAGGCCCGAGCTCCTCCCGAGCGCGTCACTGCCCTGCCCCCTACTGCTCCTGAGGTGGGAGGCTTGGCCCCAGCCTCCCCGAGCTCCCGGTAACCTCCGGGCTCCCCAAGCCCTGACCTTTCCTCACTGTCCTGGGCTCGGCACCGAGGTGACTTGAGGCTTTTTTCTAAACTGCTCTGAATTTCAGGCTTTCGCACTCACCCCCTCCCCTGCCATCGAGTCGGCCCCGACTCATAGCGACCCCTCCTTGGGTTTCTGAGGCGGTATCACTATGGAAGTAGGTTGCCCAACCTTCCTTCCGAGGCGTGGCTGGTGGGTTTGAACCGGCAGCCTTCTGTTAGCAGTCAAGTGCCTTAGGCACTACGCCATCAGAGCTCCCGTGACTCTCAGTCTTTCTCACCCAGCCCCGCCCCCAGGAGAGGAGGAAAGGCTGTGGTTGGGTCTCAGGGGCCCCGAGGCCCACATCCTCAGAGGGGCGGCAGCCAGGGAGAGGCGCGGCCCTCTTCTGCTCATCTGCACGGCAGGTGGTGAGGGGTGGGGACCGTTGGGTGGTGGGCGGACGGGTGGATGGACTTTCCGGGTCGTCCATGCTCTCCAGGCCCCCAGCCCGCTCAGCTCCGGTTATACAGCTTGCATTCTGATCAAGCCTCCATTTTTCCATCTAGAACTTTCCACAGGTCGCATGGGGCCTGGGCAGGGACTCTGCTCCCCTCTCCAAGGGCCTCCTGGGACCTGGTGTCTAAGCCACCCTTGCCCAGCCGGGATGTCCGGAAGTCCTGGGAGGTGGCACCATGACGTTGCCACATGAGTGGCATGACCAAACTGCTCTGGGCCCAGTCATGAATGTCTCACCGGGGTGTGACACCGGGGCGGGGGCTGCTTCCCTGGAGTCCGCAGCCTCCCCGAGTCTGGCTGCCTGCGGACGCACCACTGCAGCGTGCCAGCTGGGGGATGTCGGCAGGGTTCACAGGCTT